TGCCCAAGGGACGCAACTCTGCACAGTGAATTGCGGTGCCTTAGATGACTGGGCCACTCATGCCCCAAGATAAGACAACAAAGGAAAAAAGAAACTCAAGAAGCCAGCTCTTAGGTTGGGATGCTGGTATGTTAACACCGTGATACCTGGATTGTCATTGGGGCTCAGGGAGGTGAGCGATCGCTGTCATCAACAACAATCTCCGAATACTGCAAGTTTGTTTGTTTATAGTTTAACGCTGCACTTAGCAATATTCCAGCTATATGACGGCGGTCTGTAAATAATCGAGTCTGGACCAGACAATTCTGTGATTGACATCATGAGCATCGACCCACAAAATTTGGATCGATGATATGCATCAACCAAGTCAGGTCGAACACTGCAAGTGGACATCGCCTTGTTACAGAGGCTGATCAAACCAACAAGCAAGGCGTTGGCTTTGCTGTCAAGTACTCGATGCTCAGAATGATAACAGCCTGGCAAGAATGGTACCTATCTGAAGGATAAGTTCCAGTTCTATGACCAACCCTTGACCAACCCTAGACCATCATCAGTGATCACCAGTCAAGAACAGCTGCTACTGCTTCGCGACTTCAATGAAAGAGTCAGTAGTATCAGTCAATATGGAATTGCCAAGATGAAGATGGACATCTTCTCAAGTTGTGCACATCCCACAACCTATGCATCACTGATTCCTTCTTCCAGACTAAGCCTCGACACAAGGTGTTCTGGAGACAACCCCGGTCCAAGCACTGGCACCAGCTAGTCCTGGACCCACTTGCACAAAGCGATCTTAGCGCTACGAGTTTTGTAAGCTATGTTAAAGTATAGGAGCTACAATCATCTTAGCGCTATGATCGCTTTGTGCAAGTAGTCCCTGATCATCCCAAGACAGCGCCATCTCAGTAACGTGCTTATCACATTTTTGTACCTCAGTGCTGACCATTCCTTGGTCTGCAGCAGGATCAGATTCCAGCCAAAGAAGATGCACCACACTTAGCTGAACGGAAAGACTCCTCACAGCTGCACAGATTGGACTCCATTACTGGTGGCCTGTATGATTATCTGGGTAGACGCCCCACAGGGATATGCCAGATTATTGCCCCACAGGGATATGCCAGATTATTGCCCCACAGGGATATGTCAGATTATTTCCCCACAGGGATATGCCAGATTATTTCCCCACAGGGATATGCCAGATTATTTCCCCACAGGGATATGCCAGATTATTGCCCCACAGGGATATGTCAGATTATTTCCCCACAGGAATATGCCAGATTATTGCACTTGTATAGCAACGTGCATGCACTTGTGTGTTTGTGGCTACTTGTACTAGAACACTGAGATACCATTCTGCAGTTTAACATGAATACCCCACTCAGACACAGTATACTGACTCCGAGCCCAACGGTCCTTGTTTTAGCCCCTTTATGCCGAGCGCCAGACAGGGTAACATCAAGTACCATCTTTTAAGGTCTTCTGGTATGACGTGGCCAGGGATCGAACCCAGGACTTTACACTATCTGGGCAGACGCTCTACCACTAGACCACAGAGGCGGTCCTCAGTCTCAGGGCAGAAAAGCAGGGGATTGGATTAAAGCTCACTCCTGCAAGTTCATCCAAGTCATTGACGAAACAGCACAGCACTAAAATATACAGACCTTCCGATCTTACCCCAGTCAGCAAGTTGACAAGGTAAGGATGTCATCTGTGGGAGAACTTCATGCCCTGCTACATATGCAATATTTTGTTCTGGTGAGCAGGGTAGGAAAATAGTGCTGATAAAATATATTTTGCACTTTACATAACATAAAGGTCAACAGAACCATTAAACAAGTGAAAAGGTATTGCCTTATTACCTGCATATGAAAAAAAACATAACAGAATGTATATTCAATATTTTTAATCACATTTCTTGTGATAATATGTATCAAATATATGAACTAGTATCTGACAGTTTATAATGTCAGGATGAAGAAACAATATGCATACAAATGTTCATGTCAAAGAAAGAAATCACAAGAGTGTACAGTGAGTGTTACATACAGTAGAACAATACTTCCTAAATGATACGACACTGTGAGGACTCTGGAACAAGAATCACGTGTCCGAAGCAACAGATGGTTGAAGATTTGATTGTTTGTTGTTTAATGCTGCATTCAGTTATATTTCAGCTATATGATGGCGGTTTGCTAATAATTGAGTTTGGACCAGACAATCCAGTGAGTGATATCATGAGCATTGATCCACGCATTTGGGATGTGATGACATGCATCAACCAGGTCAGCAAGTCTGACCACCCGATCCCGTTAGTCGCCTCTTACGACAAGCATAGTCGCCTTTTACCAGCAAGCATGGGTTGCTGAAGACCTATTCTACCTCGGATCTCCACGAGTGAGATGGCTACAGAGGACTAGGTGGTCAGACTGTGATTTGGCTGACTGTGTTAATGTAGCACCATGGCAGAATACTGCTGATGTTTTCAGTCATTTGTTTGTCTAGTCATTGTACCTTAACTGGGTGGATTGTTCTCGTTCTATCGTTCATTCGTCGGAGGGTGGGTGGGGGTATGGGTTGATTGATTGATTGATTGATGGAATTTCAGTTATACGTATCACAGCTTAAGAGAGTTAGAGATAGAGGAAAGTCTGAAGTGCAGACCGTATGGTTCTAGACAGACAAAGGAATACAATTTTCTTGATTCACGATCAATCTGCATCTGCATCCGACTTCTTTTCCTCATGGCCTTGACCTTTGACTTACTTTAACCTTTTCATGGTGGTCCTACCTGAGGGAAATAACATCCAAAGTTCAGTCATTCACTTATATAGTGACGTGCATGCACGTGTGTGTGTGTGGCTGCTTGTTCTAGTCCTGACTAGTGCTGTTTTCATCATGCTTCCATTGCCTGGCGCTCTGCATTATGGGACTTAAACAAAGACTGGTCGGAGTCAGTATACTGTGTCTAAGTGGGGTATTACTGTTAAACTGTGGCATGATATCTCAATGGGCTAGCACTTAAAATCAGCATTAGTCCGGACTAGTACAAGCAGCCACACATTCAAACAAATGTGCATGCACATCGCTATAAAAGTGTAATAATCTTGAACCCCATTTCACCTCACCTAATGCTAGCCCATGGAGATACCATGCTGCAGCTTAACACTAGATATCCCACTCAGACACAGTACATTCCGAGTCGACCAGTCCTTGTTTTATCCCCTTAATGCAGAATGATCACCAGGCAAGTTGACATATCTGAACATCTTTAGGTATGACACAGCCAGGTATCGAACCAGTGATCTGCTCTCCAGGCAGATACTCTATCCACTACACTATCATCTGTATGGTCAGTCGTGTCTTGTTCAAAAGACACCAGTTCATCACTAAACTAATCTGTATGGCAAATTTCAACAAGACATTTTCAATGGTTTAGGAGTACTGACGGACGGACGGACAGACATGCTGATCACTATACAAAGTATTGGTAGACAGAGACCCACCAAATCAAATCAAACCAATGACTTGAAGAAATTTGCCATTTTTAAGGCTTTGGCTATACAGTATGATATTGTTATTAGCACTAGTGGACTAACAATGTTAGTGTCTATCGCTGTATGGTCACTATAAATATTATTTTTAAGAGAACAGCACTGAGATACGGTTAAAGCAGCTGATTACAGACAAGTCAACACCAATACTGATGTACTTGTCTCAAATGTTCATGACATTGAACTGTGGCAAGAAAGAACATATCAATAATATTTGTTTGTTGTTTAACGCCGCACTCAGCAATATTCCAGCTATATGACGGCGGTCTGTAAATAATCGAGTCTGGACCAGACAATCCAGTGATGGACATCATGAGCATCGATCCACGCAATTGGGATTGATGACATGTATCAACCAAGCCTGACCACCCGATCCCGTTAGTCGCCTTTTACGACAAGCACATCTCAATAGCAGCAAATGTGTCTTGTTACATACAAACTTAAAACTGACTATGCTTTAAGCATCCGCCTATAACACATTGTAACAACTTAACTTAAAAGACAAGATCCTAAACATAAAATGTCTTCAAATCCATGATTTTACTAAAACATTGCTAAAGGAAACACTTTGAGTGTAAAACTAAGATAATGAAACATCAGTTTCTAAAAATGAACCCCCAAAAGACTAACGAACATACAATTGCGTATTCTTAACATACAGTCGAACCTCGTGTCGAACTCGTGAGGACCTGAACAATAGTTTGAGTTTCCCGGCGTTCGAGACATCAGGAAGATTTCATGATTAATTTGATTACTTGGGCCTCCCAAATGAGTTCAAGACAACCGGGAATTTGAATCCAAGTTCGACAAAATGAGGTTTGACTCTCTATAACACATCATCCATCCATCAATTACATGTCTGACAAGGAGGACTGGATCCCTTCAACAATTATTATCACAATGAAGTTTAGAAACGTGTCTCCGTTTCTGTCAAGGCACATACCCGTATTAAAGTGTTTCAAAAAGCTGATAGTTCTGCTCAACCACAGATGATAATAAACATTAACGGACCTGTTCAAAGCACTCACCACTGTCTTGAGGTAAACAAACTGACCATTACGTACTTGATGTCGGCAGTTTCAGATAACATTGGAAAAAGCCATATTCATGTATCAAAGGAATCAAACCGAAAATAGACATACTTTATAACTTTTTAAAAACATACATTCAATGCGAGAAATTTATCGCAACAAAAAAAGGATGACAAAAATAACTTTAACAAAAAGTGGTCACTTTTTTCTCAACATTATATTCTTAGCTCTTTGTTGATTCATGCAATGTTTGAATCTGATTGTGTATCGCAACCTTTTTCATTTGAAATTTGACAAAGCTTGTTTCCAAACCCTTACATTTTAAAGATTGTATTGGATCATTCTATGCATTCCGAAATAGGGTTTTGACGGAATACTGAATTACTCCACAACTCTGGGAACAACAGAAATTTATTAAAAAATCCTGTGTATAACAGACTTGATGTCAGCAGTCTCAGATAGCAGCTTGTAATGTTTTGAATGAACCAAACCATCCCAACTACAACTGTGTAGTTTGTATTGGATTGTCAGCTGAACCTGCAGAATCTATGTGCAGCCACCATAGTCACTGGATCCGGCAACAGATCAGGGTGATGGTCCGACCTGATGGACAGTCTATCTAATGGTGATCTACCCTTCAGATCTGGCAACAGATCAGGGTGATTGTCCGACCTGATGGACAGTCTGTGGTGGTGATCTACCCTTCAGATCTGGCAACAGGTCAGGGTGATTGTCCGACCTGTTGGACAGTCTGTGGTGGTGATCTACCCTTCAGACCTGGCAACAGATCAGGGTGATGGTCCGACCTGATGGACAGTCTGTGGTGGAGATCTACCCTTCACATCTGGGAACAGATCAGGGTGATTGTCCGACCTGATGGACAGTCTGTGGTGGAGATCTACCCTTCACATCTGGCAACAGCTCAGGGTGATTGTCCGACCTGTTAGACAGTCTGTGGTGGTGATCTACCCTTCAGATCTGGCAACAGATCAGGGTGATTGTCCGACCTGATGGACAGTCTGTGGTGGTGATCTACCCTTCACATCTGGCAACAGGTCAGGGTGATGGTCCGACCTGATTGACAGTCTGTGGTGGTGATCTACCCTTCACATCTGGCAACAGGTCAGGGTGATGGTCCGACCTGATGGACAGTCTGTGGTGGAGATCTACCCTTCACATCTGGGAACAGATCAGGGTGATTGTCCGACCTGATGGACAGTCTGTGGTGGAGATCTACCCTTCACATCTGGCAACAGCTCAGGGTGATTGTCCGACCTGTTTGACAGTCTATCTAATGGTGATCTACCCTTCACATCTGGCAACAGATCAGGGTGATTGTCCGACCTGATTGACAGTCTGTGGTGGTGATCTACCCTTCACATCTGGCAACAGGTCAGGGTGATGGTCCGACCTGATGGACAGTCTGTGGTGGAGATCTACCCTTCACATCTGGGAACAGATCAGGGTGATTGTCCGACCTGATGGACAGTCTGTGGTGGAGATCTACCCTTCACATCTGGCAACAGCTCAGGGTGATTGTCCGACCTGTTTGACAGTCTATCTAATGGTGATCTACCCTTCACATCTGGCAACAGGTCAGGGTGATTGTCCGACCTGTAAGACAGTCTGTGGTGGTGATCTACCCTTCACATCTGGCAACAGGTCAGGGTGGTGGTCCGACCTGTTAGACAGTCTATCTAATGGTGATCTACCCTTCAGATCTGGCAACAGGTCAGGGTGGTGGTCCGACCTGATGGACAGTCTGTCTAATGGTGATCTACCCTTCACATCTGGCAACAGGTCAGGGTGGTGGTCCGACCTGTTAGACAGTCTATCTAATGGTGATCTACCCTTCAGATCTGGCAACAGGTCAGGGTGGTGGTCCGACCTGTTAGACAGTCTATCTAATGGTGATCTACCCTTCACATCTGGCAACAGGTCAGGGTGATTGTCCAACCTGTTAGACAGTCTGTGGTGGTGATCTACCCTTCACATCTGGCAACAGGTCAGGGTGGTGGTCCGACCTGATGGACAGTCTATCTAATGGTGATCTACCCTTCAGTTCTGGCAACAGGTCAGGGTGGTGGTCCGACCTGATGGACAGTCTGTCTAATGGTGATCTACCCTTCACATCTGGCAACAGGTCAGGGTGGTGGTCCGACCTGTTAGACAGTCTGTGGTGGAGATCTACCCTTCACATCTGGCAACAGGTCAGGGTGATTGTCCGACCTGTTAGACAGTCTATCTAATGGTGATCTACCCTTCAGATCTGGCAACAGGTCAGGGTGGTGGTCCGACCTGATTGACAGTCTATCTAATGGTGATCTACCCTTCACATCTGGCAACAGGTCAGGGTGGTGGTCCGACCTGTCAGACAGTCTGTCTAATGGTGATCTACCCTTCACATCTGGCAACAGGTCAGGGTGGTGGTCCGACCTGATTGACAGTCTGTGGTGGAGATCTACCCTTCAGATCTGGCAACAGGTCAGGGTGGTGGTCCGACCTGATGGACAGTCTGTGGTGGAGATCTACCCTTCAGATCTGGCAACAGGTCAGGGTGGTGGTCCGACCTGATGGACAGTCTATCTAATGGTGATCTACCCTTCACATCTGGCAACAGGTCAGGGTGGTGGTCCGACCTGATGGACAGTCTATCTAATGGTGATCTACCCTTCAGATCTGGCAACAGGTCAGGGTGATTGTCCGACCTGTTAGACAGTCTATCTAATGGTGATCTACCCTTCACATCTGGCAACAGGTCAGGGTGATTGTCCGACCCGATGGACAGTCTGTGGTGGTGATCTACCCTTCACATCTGGCAACAGGTCAGGGTGATTGTCCGACCTGTTAGACAGTCTATCTAATGGTGATCTACCCTTCACATCTGGCAACAGGTCAGGGTGATTGTCCGACCCGATGGACAGTCTGTGGTGGAGATCTACTCTTCAGATCTGGCAACAGGTCAGGGTGATTGTCCGACCAGATTGACAGTCTGTGGTGGTGATCTACCCTTCACATCTGGCAACAGGTCAGGGTGATTGTCCGACCCGATGGACAGTCTGTGGTGGTGATCTACCCTTCACATCTGGCAACAGGTCAGGGTGATTGTCCGACCCGATGGACAGTCTGTGGTGGTGATCTACCCTTCACATCTGGCAACAGGTCAGGGTGATTGTCCGACCTGATGGACAGTCTGTGGTGGTGATCTACCCTTCACATCTGGCAACAGATCAGGGTGATTGTCCGACCTGATGGACAGTCTGTGGTGGAGATCTACCCTTCAGATCTGGCAACAGGTCAGGGTGATGGTCCGACCTGATGGACAGTCTGTGGTGGAGATCTACCCTTCAGATCTGGCAACAGGTCAGGGTGGTGGTCCGACCTGATGGACAGTCTGTGGTGGTGATCTACCCTTCACATCTGGCAACAGGTCAGGGTGATTGTCCGACCTGATGGACAGTCTGTGGTGGTGATCTACCCTTCACATCTGGCAACAGATCAGGGTGATTGTCCGACCTGATGGACACTCTGTGGTGGAGATCTACCCTTCACATCTGGCAACAGGTCAGGGTGATGGTCCGACCTGATGGACAGTCTGTGGTGGAGATCTACCCTTCAGATCTGGCAACAGGTCAGGGTGGTGGTCCGACCTGATGGACAGTCTGTGGTGGAGATCTACCCTTCAGATCTGGCAACAGGTCAGGGTGATGGTCCGACCTGATGGACAGTCTGTGGTGGAGATCTACCCTTCAGATCTGGCAACAGGTCAGGGTGGTGGTCCGACCTGATGGACAGTCTGTGGTGGAGATCTACCCTTCAGATCTGGCAACAGGTCAGGGTGGTGGTCCGACCTGATGGACAGTCTATCTAATGGTGATCTACCCTTCACATCTGGCAACAGGTCAGGGTGATGGTCCGACCTGATGGACAGTCTGTGGTGGTGATCTACCCTTCACATCTGGCAACAGATCAGGGTGATTGTCCGACCTGATGGACAGTCTGTGGTGGAGATCTACCCTTCAGATCTGGCAACAGGTCAGGGTGATTGTCCGACCTGATGGACAGTCTGTGGTGGTGATCTGCCCTTCAGATCTGGCAACAGGTCAGGGTGATGGTCCGACCTGATTGACAGTCTATCTAATGGTGATCTACCCTTCACATCTGGCAACAGGTCAGGGTGGTGGTCCGACCTGATGGACAGTCTGTGGTGGTGATCTACCCTTCAGATCTGGCAACAGGTCAGGGTGATGGTCCGACCTGATGGACAGTCTGTGGTGGAGATCTACCCTTCACATCTGGCAACAGATCTGGGTGATGGTCCGACCTGATGGACAGTCTGTGGTGGAGATCTACCCTTCAGATCTGGCAACAGGTCAGGGTGATGGTCCGACCTGATGGACAGTCTGTGGTGGTGATCTACCCTTCAGATCTGGCAACAGGTCAGGGTGATGGTCCGACCTGATTGACAGTCTATCTAATGGTGATCTACCCTTCAGATCTGGCAACAGGTCAGGGTGATAGTCCGACCTGATGGACAGTCTATCTAATGGTGATCTACCCTTTAGATCTGGATGACAGTCCGATGTGTTGGTCAGTCAGTCTGGCTCGTCGTTATGGATGACATACAAATGCAGCTGTTAGATATGCCATCATGTCAGATCTGGCAATAGTTCAGGATGATTGTCCAACCTGTTGGTCAGTCAGTCTGGCCAGTCATTATGGATGATGTACCCGTGCATCTTTAACATCCTATATAGCATCAAGTGAGATCCAGGATGATGGTCGGACCTGTTCGTCAGTCGGGCAGCTGCTTAACCAGTTCGTACAGGCTGCGGATGATGCTGTCCAGTTGCATCAAGCCTGACTGAAGGAGCGGCCTGAAAAAACACATCAAAAGTCAACTTCATTTGCGTTTAATGCCTCTTTGAACAACATCTCAGCCATTTAATGTTAATTTGTTGTTAAGACATGACAAGGACAGTTTCAACTTATATATGAACCTTCGAAACTCAAGTAGACCAAAAGGAATTTAGAGAAACAATACAGTAGTTGCATTAAGAAACAAATTTGATGACAGGGGGCAAGAGAAAGACCATGTGCAGCATGCAGACAACTGAAGTCATGACATGTAAGACTGAACACCCTTTCATCACCTGCCCCAGTGGGTAAAACAGTGGGTTCCAATACTAAAGATGACATGTGAGGCTGCAGGTTCAACTCACGTCATGGAATTGTTATGTGAAAAATATTACATATAACCAGTCAAAAATCAACATAAGATGCATACTAAAAGTCCTGTTTCAACCTCTTGGCAGGTTTCACTTGAAAGGATACTCCACAAGGATACTACGAGATAGCAAGATACCTACAATACTACAGGCATAAGTGACAGTAGGTGTATAAAGTGAGAGGAAAGACGATGCAGGCTATAGATCTTTACCACTTAGATGAAACCTACAATGGAAACTATTTATGAATAGAGGTGTCTGACAGTAAACAAATGAAACAAAACAAATTTTAATCCAAATTACAGATTCCAGAATTGTACTTATATACCATATATGACCGCGTATAAGCCGAATTTTGAGGACCAGAAAAAATATTCTGTAGAAAGGGCTCGGCTTATCCACGGGATACACTTTCATGATAGTATTTTTCAGATCGTGATCTGTCAGAAACATCGCCTGAATGACAGTCCGATAGATTACAACTTCCCGAAAGTTTAGAAGTTGCCACGACTAGAGCCATTATTGTTATAAATTATCAATAAAGTTATTATTATACACCAATGTTGTTATAATTAAAAAATTGTTATGCATGTTACTACTTCAGATAATAAGTTTTCAATTGAATGTTCAAAGTTTATTGTTCTTCATAAACTCCACCATCTTTACATGTAACAATATATGTAATTCACAGCTATAATATATAATCCCCAGATGAAATCAGTATATATAGAGAGAAAGTTCTGACAGAAAACAAGCCATAAGCTGTACCTGTTGTTGGTGGTACGGAAAAAGGACATCAGGGCATCGACTGTAACTGACTCGAACTCTACTGGCTGAAACAAAACAGAAACATGTCACGTCAAATATCTGACATAGGTGAAGGGATTTATCGGACACAAAATCCGGCTTTCCTGTACACTTACAAATTGAAAACAGATGCAACAAGAAATACAGAGGGCATCCACCGGGATGCAGAGAAGGCATATGCCAGTTTAGAAATGAATGCTTCTATTTCCTAATTTGATATCACCGATATTTAATTTCCATACACAATCATTAAAAACAAAGTCAGGCACCAGCAGTTGTAGTTTTGTTTCAGTTGGAACTCCATGTGTAAGCATCTTCCCAGGGCAAGGGAGTTAACTGACTCCAAAAGTCCAGTTTCACCCTAGCCGAACCAGGCTGGAATTTCTGGGCTCGATCGTAGCGCCACCAGTCACTATTACCAGTCATGTCCCTCCTACGTCCCTCTCATTGACCCATCAGATTCCACCTCTCCTATCACTTGCATTAGTTTCAAACAAAGTGGCAGCGTCCAGTGAAGAAGAGCTAATCGTTAATCAAGAATTATATTGTAATCAAATGGGTCTTACTTTGTCATGTGCATCAAATTGATTTAAAACATGAAAATATTTGAAAAATATCTGTTGGAAATAAGTTGACTGTACACATGCTTTGCAAATTCTGCAATCGATTGTAATTTGCATGACAGTTTACAAACTGGATTTCGATTTTGTTTTGCAATTTGGATTGGACTAGGCATAGACTTATTAGTACAGCAAAACAATAACTCCATAATTCCCTTGTTTGGCAAGAGTGGAGACTTTTGCAGTCAGTTAACTCCCTTTGCCTCGGGAAGATGTATCTATGTTGATACGAACAGCCTCTGAGCAGCGTTAGAAATTGGCACTTGTCCTGTAGTCCTTGCCAAACTGCCCAGTAGTTAAGGTATCATAAGGACAAGTAGAAATTTGCTATTTTAAGGGTTTTGCTATATGTTATCATAATAAGGACTGGTGGACTAAAATTGTTAGTTTCTACCGCCTCTGAGCATGCACAATCTTGTCACTGATCCTGGTAAGCCTAAGGGACATAACTCTGTACAGTGAATTGCTGAGCCATATATTACTGGACCACATACGTGCCCTCTCAGGGATTTATCTAGATCTGATGAGGCTGACATTCGACCCTAAGTCTGCAGCAAATGTCAATAAAAATTCCCAATTTGGAAAGAAACATTTCCCAATTCATCTTACAGTATAATAATATACATAACTTATAACTAATTTTATGGCTTTTTAGAAGTAACCTGTATTCACTAAAAGGAAGAATAATATATTGCATTTTAATGCTTCAACTCATGTTATTGCATTAAATGCAATCTCAAAATACCTCTGTATTTAAGAAAAAATGAACTATTAAAAAGTCCAAATTTTGAACAAAATAACATTGTTTCCCAGGGGAACACAGTTCAGAGTCTGAAATAAATCCCTGCCTATACACATTAGGAGCTGCAACAGTAATGATATCTGTTATGATTACAAACATGTTGTTTCCAGACATTTGAATTATCAATAGTTACCTTATGCTTCAGCTTCACAAATACTGTGTTCAGCTGTTCACAGAAGTTTTGAAATTTCTCTCTCTCATTAGAAATTTCATAGGGAGAAATTGAAAGACATCTGAAAACAAAAGGTAGAATTGATTTACAGACAGAAGTAATAAATATCTTCAATTTTCATACCAATCATCGACAAAAGGATCGGCAATCACATTTCCGATCCCATTAAAGAACACTGAGTGAGTGAGTGAGTGAGTCACATTTCCGATCCCAGAGAAGAACACTGAATAAGTGAGTGAGTGAGTCACACTTCCTATCCCATAAAATAACAGTGAATGAGTGAGTGAATCACATTTCTGATCCCATAGAATAACACTGAATGAGTGAGTGAGTGAGTCACATTTCCGATCCCAGAGAACACTGAATGAGTGAGTGAGTGAGCCACATTTCCGATCCCATAGAATAACACTGAGTGAGTGAGTGAGTGAGTGAGTGAGTGAGTCACTGGTAACTTGGAAAATAATATTTACGAGGGTTCGTATTTAAAAAAAATTAGATGCAGCAAAAGTGTTTGAAGCCATGGCATCCCAAGTCAAATTGTCTCATGTCAAGGTCTAAATAAGGATGTTGACTTACAGGGCAAACTCATATCGAAGGTCCTTGATGATCCTGGTGAGGCGAGTCAATAGACTGAGGTAGCTGTTGTTGACGGACTGCGACAGGGAGGCTTCGATCTCCACACTGAAACATAAATCTCAATGCTGAAATAATTGGAATAACAGAATTAAATATGTACAAGCTTTGTTCTCAACACTGGAAAATAAACATAGACTTACACATTAACCCTCACCAGAAACATTAGACAACCATAAAGCCTGTTCGACAATAACAAACACAACTTCATTATCCGACACCAATACAGAGCGACACATGCTACAAGTAGACACCTAATGTAGTTAAACCCCTGCTACAGGTAGGTACCTACTACAGGTACACACCTACTACAGATAGACACCTACCACACACAGTACAGATAGACACCTACAGCAAAAAGACACCTACCACACTTGGTACACATTCGCCCACACAAGCTGGAAACAGTCCTGTACCACAGTCGGATCCTGTGTGTGGACAGGCTGCCTAGCTGTGGGGGTTGCCGTGACAGCGGTTGTAGCGGTGTTGTAGCTGGTGGAGGCTTGAGCAGTGCCGGCAGGTCTGACCCTGATTCTGGACCCAGCTAGACTCGAGCCGGAGGGTTTGACTAGGGAGTCAGAGCTTGTCCCGGTGGCTGCAGAGCCTGCTTGTGAAGGTCGCCGGGGACTAGGAGTGACATCTCTATGTGTGGAAGGAGCAGGACGGTCAACAGAGACTTGTGTCGGTGTGGACGACTGACTGGCAACAGGCTTGCATGTAAATGTTCTGGGCTACAACAGATATTGTAATTTGTAGTCAGGATGGTTCACTTAATTCAATAACTGAAATAAAATAGTCAGCAAGACATTTACATTACAATTCACAAGTATCACAATAAACCAATTACCTCTCGGATGATTGGTTGGTTGGTTGTTGTTTTACGCTGCACTTAGCAGTATTCCACCTATATGACGGCAGTCTGTAAATAATCGAGTCTGGACCAGACAATCCAGTGATTGATATCATGAGCATCGATCCACGCAATTGGGATCAATGACATGCTTCAACCAAGTCAGCGAGTCTGACCACCCGATTCCGTTAGTCACCTCTTACGACAAGCATAGTCGCCTTTTACGGCAAGCATGGGTTGCTGAAGACCTATTCTACCCCAGGACAAACCTCTTGGATGACCATAAAGATACTAACAGGCTAAGGTTATATGTTTGATTGTTGTTAACACCACACTCAGCAGTAGTCCAGCATAATGAAGACAGCCTGTAAATAATTGAGTCTGAACCAAGAATCCAGAGACTGATATTGTGAGAAACGATTCACACCATCGGGGTACGATGACATGGAATCAAACCACCTCGTCTGACCACCCAATCCATTGAGCTGCCTCTAATGACCAGGATGGGTTGCTGGGGACCAGTTCTAATCCAAAATCCCCACAGGGCTCTTAGGTAATGTTACAAAGACAAAGACAGGTCCTCTAGAAACATTATCCTGCATCTTGTACATAATAGATGAGCCAGACGCTGGTCTTCATAACCAGCAGCTTCTTCCTGAGGCGAGGGAGTAACTGACTGCAAAAGTCCAGTTTTCCCCCTTGCCGAACTAGGCTGGCATTATGGAGTCATGTCTTGGCCTGACTAACAAGTCTATGCATAGTCCAATCAAAATCACGTAACGAAATCGACAGTTAGTAAACTGTCATACAGAATTCGGTCACTTGCAGGAAAGCATGTGTACCACCATCTCGGTGTCAACAGATATTTTCCAAACCATTTCATGTTTTCAATCAAGGCGCTCGTGTAATTTGATGCACTTTGCAAAGTAAGACCTGTTTTATTACAATATGGATCTTGATTATTGATCAGATCGTCTTTACTGAGCGCCACCATCTTGTTTGAAGCAAATGCAAGTGATATTAGAGGTGGAATCTGATTGGTCAATAGGAGGGACATAGAAGGGACATAACTCGTAATAGCCATTGGTGGCGCTATGATCAATCAGGCTAGTTCGGCAAGGTTGGAAACTGGACTTTTATAGTCAGTTAACTCCCTTGCCTCAGGAAGATGGATTAAGGCATTCTAGAGACACAACACTTGTGTAGTGCTACCTGTGTAGGTGTAGACGATGGTGCTGTTGATGAAGCTGGTGTTGATGATGTTGGTGTTGATGATGAAGGTGTTGATGATGTTGGTGTTGATGAGGTTGGTGCAGTCTTCAGGTGGTGTAGTTGCATCTGCACAGTCTTCAGTTTGTCTATAGAAATGCTTACTCTGCCCTTATAGCTGCAACGGAAGTAATCGTCTGTTTTATATACGGACATTCAAATGTAAGATAATGTTTCAAACAAGTTATTTTCATACAGCCTTCTTAGTGGATACATGCTATCAGCCTCATGCCCATTGTAGGTGAGGTGAGGTGAAATGGGGTTTAACGTCGCGGCCAAGATTATTGCACTTATATAGCGACGTGCATGCACGTGTATGTGTGTGTGTGGCTGCTTGTACTAGTCCGGACTGATGCCGATTTATAGTGCTAGCTCACTGAGATACCATGCCGCAGTTTAACATGAATACCCCACTCAGACACAGTATACTGACTCCGAGCCGACCAGTCCTTGTTTTAGCCCCTTAATGCCGAGCGCCAGACAGGGTAACAACAAGTACAATCTTTTAACGTCTTTTTGTATGACGCGGCCCGGGATCGAACCCTGGACCTTCCGCTCTCCGGGCAGACGCTCTACCACTAGACCACGGAGGCGGTGCCCATTATAGGAGATCCCTCCAATGCATTAATGTTCAAATCCACAATCAGACCTCTGAAATTGCTCATTAATAAATTCTAATGAAGTTGCTTTCCCTCATGAATATATATTCACAATGCATCTGAAGTAATGAAGAGGACACTGGGGTACTTTTAGTTGACAAGGAGAGACAAAAACCAAACTTACAAACTCACAAAAATTTCCTTTGGAAAAAATGTCAAAATTCTTAATTTTCACTTGTGTTACGTGAAATATATATGTATACAGTGTTCGAAATACCTGCCTGCCCGACCGTCCGAGACGGGTTGATTTCAACTCGGGCTGCCAGATTTTCAAATCCCCCTGCCCGACGGTCGGGTTATATTTCATATGTAAAAATATTCTAAATATTTCCCGATGATAAGCATTATTTACATGATGTATTCTGGGATATTAAATACAAATCTGACCTAAAAAGTGTTTGCTATTTCTTTTCTTGCATTACTTCATGTTCAATGAATTCGATTTAAGGTTTTAATTAAATAATCCTGAGAAACATATGATTATAGTGGGCAGGCAGGTTTTGGTCAGGGCTGGCAAGTATTTCAGCTAGCCAGTCCTGTGGTCTGGCTGAAACTTTTGGGAGTTTCATACCCTGATGTATAAGGTCGTAAATATTAGATTTTTATCTTAAACCATCTCACGACCTTGCAGATTCCAGATCAGGCTTAGTCCCCCCAAAACCAACAAATAACAACTGGGTGGTGACAGACTGTGTGACCAGCATGGGTCAGTGCTCATCTTATCAACCACTGGTTTGCTTTCTCCCAACTTGATTGATAACTTTTAGTACCACTGTACCACTCACTCACTCACCTGGAATGTTTTTGCAGTGCCTCCATGAGCTGCATCAGCTCCTGTATCAGCTCTAGCACCTCACAGCTCCTCAGGAGGGGAACTACAAATATATACACAGCCGTGTTATCATGGATATCTCACAGCAGGGGAACTACACATATATACACTGCCATGTTATCATGGATATCTCACAGCCGGGGAACTACACATATATACACAGCCATGTTATCATGGATATCTCACAGCAGGGGAACTACACATATATACACTGCCATGTTATCATGGATATCTCACAGCAGGGGAACTACACATATATACACTGCCATGTTATCATGGATATCTCACAGCCGGGGAACTACATAGAGAATACTACACTCATTCTCGTTAGATACCATTTTTACGAAATAAGTGGACTTTCTATGGTATCTGACCGAGCGAAAGCGAGGTCAGATACCATAGAAAAATCACGAGTTACGTAAAAATGGTATCTAACGAGAATGAGTGTGGTATTTTATTTATTACCCACGTTAAATATGTATGTAAGTGTTAATACATAACAACTTTTGTCCGTTGACAGACCAAACTGAAACCGGTTGCAAAATCTGGTTGTGCATGAATATTGATATATGCCCAAATATGGGCATTGTTTACATTCCTATGCATATGCATTAACAACATGCGTCTACAGTTGTATTCGAAAACATAACAGCACCGACGCTCAAGAACCTTTTGGAAGAATTTCTTCAACTTATTAGAATTCACTGCCATGTTGTAAGTACGCAGGACATCTATAAGAAAATTTGAAAAGTCACATTAGCGCCACGCTTTGAATATCGGACCAACAGTCGGTCACCCGCACTGCCGGGGTCCCGTCTGTGCATTCAAAATGGTTCAGTTTCCTTGATCTATCAGCTGAATTTATATCATGTCCGTACCGTTTTGGAAGAGGGAAATCAGAGTGTTCGCCAAAGACATTCATGTTTACTGTACCACCCTTTACTGAAAACGTGAAAATCAAATCGCTCAAGTCTGCTTGCATGTCAGTGACAGCTTCGAACGAAGGGCAAGGTCACCACCGGAGTAAGAAAAGACAACCGTGATCTACTAAGCGTTTTACGCTAGAGATAGGGAATGTTATTGTTCACCTTTGGGATATTGGGGCCACATAATCAGAAATCCTTCACACTTCCATGGAGTATTCGAATGATTTGTATCGGAAATGTTCACTTTGAGTGATCTGGTTGTGCAGTCGTGAACAAACAACTCCCGAAACAGTGCCACAAAATACGCTTCGAAGAGGACACTGATGGCACAAACGGATCATTACAAGTAAATCTAGATATCTGTCAAGATAGTTTAAACTGACTTCATTTCACCACGCTTATCCTTTTACGTTAAATCAAATTGGAAATTGCGAAAGTGGTCGGGTGCGTCACGCTCATGGGGACCCTCGGACTATTGAACAGTAGTCGAACATTGTAAATGGATATAGCTCGATTATATAATGTTTGTGGAAGCTCAATGCATAACTTATATAGGATTCAAACCAAATTGGATGCGTGTGACTATCTTGTTTGGTTTAATAAAGTGTTTGTTTAGATCCCTCACCAACATGAGATTGCTTCAGTTCTGCCTTGTAGTTGCAAAATGAATGACGCCTTGTGATTTTTTATGAATAAAAAAAGTAGTTCCGGTGTGACAGAGGTCAGGGTTATCCAATCAAACGAATAAAACAAGGTCAACCTTGTACGACACACGTGTGATGTACGAATGTAGTATCTTACCACCTGTATCTTCACCACGTGGGTAATAACCATATATACACCACCATGTTATCATGGATATCTCACAACAGGGGAACTACATGTATATACAGCATGTTATCATGGATATCTCACAACAGGGGAACTACACATATATACACAGCAATGTTATCATGGATATCTCTCACAGCAGGGGAACTACACATATATACACCGCCATGTTATCATAGATATCTCACAGCAGGGGAACTACACATATATACACAGCCATGTTATCATGGATATCTCTCACAGCAGGGGAACTACACATATATACACCGCCATGTTATCATGGATATCTCACAGCAGGGGAACTACACATATATACACCGCCATGTTATCATAGATATCTCAAAGCAGGGGAACTACACATATATACACCACCATGTTATCATGGATATCTCACAGCAGGGGAACTACATAATGTACAGTTTTTACAAAAGAAGTGTGAGGGGTTTATGTTGCTTCAGTGTTATTCAAGCCCTATCACGCTGGAGGAACACAAAACATGGGTTTCACACATTGTACACATGTGACGAATGAAACTGAAGTCTTTGGCATGACAAGCCGAAGCTTTCGAGCAAAACGCTACTCCACTGCCCAATGATCGTATATAGTACACGGCCTGTCATACATTGGAAGCTATTGTTCACCTTTGTTAGGCTGGAACTTGGTGGTGATGGAGTTGACAGTGTTGGACATCTGCTTCGGCAAGATCATACCAAACACAGCCATCCAGTGCCTGGGGACATACAGAGCAAACATGTCAGTACTGATTGCAGGATTTGTTTGTTTGTCTTTGTTTGTCTTTGTTTGAGTGTTGTTTAACACCACTCAGCAATATTCCAGCTAATGATGGCGGTTCGTAAATAATCCAGTCTGGACCAGACAATCCAGTGATTGACATCATGAGCATCGATCTATGCTTGATTTGGGAAAGAAGCTAGGAATAGGTTTCAAGAATTGTTTCACTCTGGAAACATAATCAGAAATTCCTTAGAGATTATTGACTGATGTTGTTACTGTTTAATGTTTTGAGAAGGGTTGGTTAGTTGGTTTGTTGTTTAACGCCGCACTCCGCAATATTCCAGCTATATGACGGTGGTCTGTAAATAATCGAGTCTGGACCAGACAATCCAGTGATTGACATCATGAGCATCGATCTATGCATTTGGGATACGATGACATGTATCAACCAAGTCAGCAGGCCTGACCACCCGATCCCGTTAGTCGCCTCTTACAACAAACATGGTAACCTCTTACAGCAAGTATGGGTGGCTGAAGACCTATTCTCTACTTCACAGGTCACGAACCCAATGTGTTCACAGACATACAGACGTACAGATATACTGAGCAATGACAGAATAATGGCAGCTATACAAGTCAGGGAGCATACAGTGAGTTTGTTACACCTCAGCAACATGATAGCTACACCTTGCAATGTGACCACAAGACAAGCAACATGACAGAAACATGAGCCATGACAGGACATGGCTGCAACAAGCAACAGGATACATTGACAGATGTGACAGCTACAGCAAGATGATATCCACAACGACTGTGACCTGACCGCCACTTACTTCCTGATGGATTCCATGATGTCCACAGCAGACCAAGGTGGCTTCCGGTAGACAACAGTCTTCCTAGGAACACAATCAAACATTACTTGTGAGCAACAAGTTAATTTCCTTGACATTTGCCACATCTAAATTCAAAAGGGGGCCACGGGTGGCCCAGTCGTCTAAGGCGCCGCGATTCGCTGTACAGAGTTGCGTCCCTTGGGCACGCCAGAAACCTATGATCGTGGGTTCGAATCCCGGTTTGCCCTGATTATGTTTCTAGGTTTGTCAGCACCATACCCGTGCTCGTGGGTTTCACCGAAGTGGTAAACGTCTGAGACCTGCATCACTCCGGGCTTTCCTCCCACATTAAGCTGACACGCCGCGATATAACTGGAATAATGTTAAGAGCGGCGTAAAACCCAACTCACTCACTCACTAAATTCAAAAGCTTCTTGATAATCAAAATGAAAATTCCTACCATTCTTTTCAACTAGTACTGTGACATTTGTATTGTATAAACATTGTCATTTCACTTCAAAAGGGACATATTCGGGACATAATTATTATATAAGTGTATCATATCACCCTCACCAAATGTTGTCATATGCTGCTTTCATCTCGGTCTCAAGAACCAGACCAAGTGTGTCCTTGACAACAGCCTTGACCTTCACCACCATCTCGTCAATCTGCAAAATAGGGTTCAATAGGTTACAGCCTTCACCTTCAAAATGACCTTGACAATCTGTTTTAAAATAAGGTTCAAATAGGACAAATCTTCCCCTTTAACATGACCTTGACAATCTGTTGTAAATAAGGTTCAAATAGGACAAACCTTCACCTTTAATATGATCTTGACAATCTGTTGTAAATAAGGTTCAAATAGGTCAAACCTTCACCTTTAACATGACCTTGAAAATCTGTTGTAAAATAAGGTTCAAATAGGTCAAACCTTCACCTTTAACATGACCTTGACAATTAGTTTTAAATAAAGTTCAAATAGCCTTCACCTTTAACATGACCTCATCAATCTGTAAAACAGGGTTCAGATACACAACACCTGTCCTTGTTTCATCACGTGAATGTCGAGGACCAGTTAGGGTAACATGTATCATCTTTCAGTGTCTGGTATGATGCAGACAGAGGATTGAACCACCGGTCTCCTGGGATCTGTCCAATAGTAGCTACTCCTTTCTACATTTGACAATAACAACATCAGACAATAACCTCTAAGGAATTTCTGATTATCTTTCCAGAGTGAAATAATTCTTGAAACATATTCCTAGCTACTTTCTCAAATTACAATAAGTATTTTGTTTGGAGCCAAAGCCAGACAATATGAATCGTCTACAGTACAATACAAAAAAGTGATTCCAAATCTCAGAAGATAAACTTATCGTTTGTGTCTATTTCAAAGTCTACAACTTCAAATAATACCAATGAAGTGTCTCGGCATGACAGATGCAACTCTATAAATAGACTTCATACCAGTCGATAAACAAGACGCGTTCATACTAAACAGATGATGTAAAGCTAAATAATGACCCTGCCTATGAAAATTTAGTTCTGGTGATTTTCTGTCCATAAATTGGCATCATATTCATATGAATTAAGGAAGATATTGTATTTTAGTATTTAGTTTAGATCGCAAATACGATGAATCTGGGACCGTTGGTAGCAATGGATACCGCTGGAAGATTTCTTAGGGACTGGGGCGGTGGGGTAGCCCAGTGGTAAAAGCATTTGCTCGTCACGCCGAAGATGTACAATGTGTGAAGCCCATTTCTGGTGTCCCCCGCTGTGATATTGCTTGAATATTGCTAAAAGCGGCGTAAAACCATACTCACTCACTCTCTCTCAAGGACAGCTTACCTGGACTCGGTTCATCTGAGCAGGACGAACAGGTGTGACGAACGTGGTGTGACCCTGTTTCTCTGTTGTGACTGATGAGGTACGAGGGCGTGTCCCTTGCGTGACTGGTGAGGGACATGGTGGTGATGTGAGGGGTATCACAGGCACTGTGTTTGTTCCTGAGAAATTATGCTCTAAATATAAATGGAACAGAAGAGAGGAGAAGCCCATTTCGACCTCTACATGACAAGTCCCCATAAACTACACTGACTTAAACGGATTCAAGTAGAAAGGTTGAACTATATATGACTCACTTATTTCTAGACATTTCTAGATACAAAATACCGTATTCGACGTAATAAGCGCCCAGGGCGCTCTCAAAATTAGAAATTGGGGCTCTTATTAGAGCATAATTGTTGTGAAAGAGCTGAAAGATCGTAAATTTTGTGGTTTATGCTGACAGCCTGAAATGATACAAAAAGAAAAGTCTGTGTATTATACACGACAGATATATTTTTCCAGACTTTAATTTCCCGTAATTGAGGGTGCATATAACACACGAGTGCGTATTATACACAAATAAGTAAGTCTTGTGTACATTGATCAATGGAAGGGTGCTAATTAGGATTGTTCACTAGCCAATATATTAGCAAATATCGCTGTGGGCGCTTATTAGAGCGGAGCGCTTATTAAGTCGATTACGGTACCAATAGTTTCTGTCAGGATTCTTATAGTGATATAAATGTTTAAAAAAAAGAAGTCCCAAAGCACTGTAGCTCACCTGGATATGTAGTCAACAGTTTAAAATGCCAACAAAGACAGACAATCAGCAAAAGATGCTATCAGCATTGATACACAAATAGTTTCCCCATCATATTGGGGCAAAAGAAACTAACACTCAAATCCTAATAATTTGACAAAATATGATGTAATCGTAAGAAATATACATGCCAAAGTACAGTGTCTGACCAAGTCTGGCAATGTCAGAGGAGAAAGGGACTATGGAACCAGATGTGCATTTTATGAGAATTAAAGATCAAACATGTTCAAAACAGAAAATCACACTTTTTAATTATTATGAAAATTAGGATCTTTGTTGAGTCCCACTTCTAGGAAAATAAAATCCAAATTTCTTTGCATTTTCAACAAAAGTGGGTGAATGAAGGCCAGAAATATGTTTTTATGAAACAGCTTAAAAACTCAAAGGATCAATTTGGAGTTTTGATCAAGCTTGTAAAGTTACAGTTTCATTGGTCGAAAAGTTTCTGAAGAGATGATTATGATGGACAGCAAACAAACCGACTTTCAGTCAGGTGAGCTAAACACAAATGACTGTGATAAATAAATCTTGTCCAAATACTCAAAGTGCTGTATTTCCAGGGCAAACCTACCTTGAGCACTGTTGGGCTCTTGAACAGCTTGAGATAGGACGAGGATTCCATGAATATTCTGAAACCAAGACTTTAATACAAAGAACATTCTCAACTAAATCAAATGTAAATTCAACAGCAAACATATGATGATATTGGTCCTCACAATTAGCTAACTCAACACACCAACACACACACACCAACACACAGACACAGACACAGAAACACACACACACACACAGACACACACACACACACCAACACACAGACACAGACACAGAAACACAGACACAGACACACACACAGACACACACACACACCAACACACAGACACAGAAACACAGACACAGACACACACACACACAGACACACACACACACACCAACACACAGACACACACCCACCCACCCACCCACCCACACCCCCACCCCCACCCACACCCACACACACACAGTGAAGCGTGTGTACCTACCTTGATGCTGCCTGCATCCAGCCCACACATCATGGCTTTGTTACACAGGTTGACGTCCTCCGACAGGAGAATCACACTCAACGTCCGAACTGGAACAGAGAATAACATGAACAATAATAGCTGGGGTTCCTGAATGTTTTTTGGGATATACTTTTGTAATGATGACACAGCTTAAAACATGAGTTATCAAAAAATGACAAATCCCCCAAATCGCAAAGGGCACTGGTTGATACATATATCAAGTATGGATGAAAAATCTTTCACTGTTTTCAAGTTATGCTCGAGAAATGAAACACGGATGGACAGGCGAACGAACGGACAGATGACTATTTCCTTCCACATTGTATGTTAGGGTGATAACAAATATCCCCCAAAACATTCATGCTGCCTATTTTTTATCAACTTTTTTTTGATCATTATACATATATATTATCAGAGGACTTGAGAGTCAATTGTTTGAACAGTCAGTGATGAGGACAGCCTTGTGTTGTAACCGATTTTAAGCACTGATACTCTCGACTGAAACAAATTGATAGCTTTACATGTCTCTCTATTCTAAAGACGACATTTAGCTTCATTATTGAAGGGTCACATAAGTATGTAGGGTGCCACATTTGAAGATATGCCAGCGATCGTCAACACATCTATTATGCTGATGATGTTTGGTTTGGTTTGTTTGTTGTTTAACGCTGCACTCAGCAATATACCAGTCGGTCTGAAAATAATCAAGTCTGGGCCAGACAATCCAGTGATTAATATCATGAGCATCGATCCACGCAATTGAGATCAATGACATGCATCAACCAAGTCATCAAGCCTGACCACCAGATCCTGTTAGTCGCCTTTTACGACAAGCATAATGGCCTTTTACGGCAAGCATGGGTTGCTGAAGACCTATTCTACCTATCTTCACAGGTCTGCTGATTTGGATAACAGTTGAAGGGCATTTTGTTTATGCTTATGTCACACTGATTTGTTGCTTTTATGAAACGGGAAGAATGAAAAACGACTATTAAAACAAAGAAGAGTGCAAGTTTGAAGGTCATGGAAAAAGCTACCCAAAACACAAGCCTGAAAATAACCACTGGCTAAGCCCATGCGCGTGCAATGCATGAAAAGGAAAACAATCAATGTGGGTTTAATGCTCGATTCCAGATGCAACTGAACTGCACTCTTGGAAGATGAAAATGTGACCCCTCAATAATGATGTCGAAACACATGGATTCCAATGTCCATAAAATAGTCAATAAGACTGGGAATTGCATGAATGAATCTGTACAACTGCAGCATTTTCTTAGTTTCTCAGACAGCTCAAAAATTTATAAGCATGTTTCAGTTCAAGGGGAGACAACTCACACTTATTTCTGAACTGCAAGCAGCATTGTAGCACCCGGTCATCGTTGCATTCTATCTCCAGCCCCTCCACCATCTCCGCTGCCTGGAATACATCGAGTACATTGTAATGAAATTAAGGCTAGCTGCGATCATGACATGAAAATGTAATACAGATGCAAACAACACAACATGCTGGTAGGAAATGTGTGCAAGACAGACAGCAGACATTCAAATAATCCTCAATTCAGAGCAACTAATTACTACACACAGACTGGCATTGACCAAACTGAGCAACTCTAGGTTGTCTCTTGGAAAACTCACCTCTCTATGAGTGAGTGAGTGAGTGAGTATGGTTTTACGCCGCTTTTACCAATATTCCAGCAATATCACGGCGGGGGACACCAGAAATGGGCTTCACACATTGTACCCATGTCGGGAATCAAAAACGGGTTTTCGGCGTGACGAGCGAACGCTTTAACTACTAAGCTACCCGACCGCCCCACCTCTCTATGAGGTACTAGGTTGTCTCCCAGAGAACTCTCTCTTTATAAGATTCTAGGATGTCTCCCGGTGAACTCACCTCACTATGAGACTGGCCAGTTACTCTGGGATGTCTCCTGGTGAACTCACCTCTCTATGAGACTGGCCAGTTACTCTGGGATGTCTCCTGGTGAACTCACCTCTCTATGAGACTAGCCAGTTACTCTGGGATGTCTCCTGGTGAACTCACCTCTCTATGAGACTGCCCAGTTACTCTGGGATGTCTCCTGGTGAACTCACCTCACTATGAGACTGCCCAGTTACTCTGGGATGTCTCCTGGTGAACTCACCTCTCTATGAAACTGGCCAGTTACTCTGGGATGTCTCCTGGTGAACTCACCTCTCTATGAGACTGCCCAGTTACTCTGGGATGTCTCCTGGTGAACTCACCTCACTATGAGACTGCCCAGTTACTCTGGGATGTCTCCTGGTGAACTCACCTCTCTATGAAACTGGCCAGTTACTCTGGGATGTCTCCCGGTGAACTCACCTCTCTATGAGACTAGCCAGTTACTCTGGGATGTCTTCTGGTGAACTCACCTTTCTATGAGACTAGCCAGTTACTCTGGGATGTCACCCGGTGAACTCACCTCTCTATGAGACTGGCCAGTTACTCTGGGATGTCTCCTGGTGAACTCACCTCCCTATGAGACTGGCTAGTTACTCTGGGATGTCTCCTGGTGAACTCACCTCTCTATGAGACTGGCCAGTTACTCTGGGATGTCTCCCGGTGAAGCAGGCATTGATGTATTTGACAGCTCGACTCGCCTTGCTCTGGCAGCTCATGGACTGAACAAGAGAGATAAATCAACATCAATGTTGCAGAGACTTGAACTTCCCTTTCTAATTACACACAGAGGAAATATTACACCTATCAGGTGATTTCTCAAAATAATACTTAATATGAACCAGTGGGTGGACCTTTTGAAGTACAATTCTGCTCAAAATGTTGTTAATAACAAGAAGGGGTTTGGAGAAAATGTTTTAGGCAACTTTTAATTTGCATCTGTTCATATGATGGCAGCCATATTTGATTACTGAATTTTCTGATTTCAGGTTTTGAATAATTTTTCACAAGTTGGATTTTGTCCAAGGCATTTTGTCCTTGGGGACCTTTGTCCTACACAACATACGAGACTTAGCCGTGCCCGGTTGTCCTTGAGGGCATCGAGTTCCTGCAGCACCACCCAGGGGAACACCAGCGTCGGCAGCCCGAACCCTGCAACACAGAGGTCAGTGAGTCCAGTCTCTTTCACATACATGACTTCCTAAATTCTTTCCTTGAGACAGACCTGTATTAATAGTGATAACAATAAAAAAGAACAAAGAAAAACAACATAGTATCATGAAACACCTCTGAGTAAGCATAGACCTAATTTCAGTGTCATTGCAGATACTACGTGACCTCGCACCACAAGCTTGCCGCAGTCAGCCAAGTCGATTAGCTACTGTTACTGACATAGTGGTCCAAACTGACAGAGCTCCCATCCAACCCAGGTCTTCTGTTTTTTATATAACGTCTTCTGACACATCTTGTAAGTATTGTAACAAGCGTATAGTTGACAAAGTCATCTATATCCCCCGCCCATTTTAACACGTTATGGTCCCAAACAAGGTAACTGACCCAACATTTCTCTTAGCCCATGTCAAAATAGCTGAAATGGAAATTCTAAAATAAACATTTCTAAAACTCCTTAATATCAAATGGCACTAGTTCAGTATGCGCTTTATATATAGACATGCAATGTTTGGCAAGGAAATATTTAACAGTTTATTTGTTATACTACTTAAGTAAACCAATCCTATATTAAAACTTAAATCCAACTTGTTGTCATGGAAACATAAACAATAAAAATTTCTAAAAGTGCTATATATCAAATGGCATCGGTTCAGTATTTGCCTGGTAGACATGCAAAGTTTTGTAAGAAAGTATTTAACGTTTTTTGAGTTACACTCTGGAAACGTACACCACCCCTGTAGAACCTAAGTCAAACTTATTGCCATGGAAACATGAAAAATAAAAATTTCTAAAATTCCCAAATAGCAAAAGGCACCAGTTCAGTATGTACCTAGTAGAACTGCAAAGTTTGGTAAGAAAGGATTTAACAGTTTTTGAGTTATGCTCCGGAAACGAACACCACCCTTATAGAACCTAAGTCCAAATTGTTGCCATGGAAACGTAAAACATAAAAATTTATAAAACTCCTAAATGGCAAAAGGCACCAATTCAGTATGTGTCTGGTAAACATGCAAAGTTTTGTAAGAAATTATTTAAAGGTTTTTGAGTTACGCTCCGGCAACGAACAGCACCCTTATAGAACCTAAGTCCAACTTGTTGCAATGGAAACGTAAAAAATAAAATTTTATAAAATTCCTAAATAGCAAAAGGCACCAGTTCAGTATGTGCCTAGTAGACATGCAAAGTTTTGTAAGAAAGTATTTAATGGTTTTTGAGTTACGCTCCGGAAACGAACACCACCCATATAGAACCTAAGTCCAAATTGTTGCCATGGAAACGTAAAAAATAAATATTTATAAAATTCCTAAATAGCAAAAGGCACCAGTTCAGTATGTGCCCAGTGGACGTGCAAAGTTTTGTAAGAAAGGATTTAACAGTTTTTGAGTTATGCTCCGGAAACGAACACCACCCCTGTAGAACCTAAGTCCAACTTGTTGCCATGGAAACGTAAAAAATAAAAATGTATAAAACTCCTTAATAGCAAAAGGCACCAGTTCAGTATGTGTCTGGTAAACATGCAAATAATTGTAAGAAATTATTTAACGGTTTTTGAGTTACGCTCTGGAAACGTACAGCACCCTTATAGAACCTAAGTCCAACTTGTTGCCATGGAAACGTAAAAAATAAATATTTATAAAATTCCTAAATAGCAAAAGGCACCAGTTCAGCATGAGTCTGATAGACATGCAAAGTTTCGAAGAGAAATATTTAACGGTTTCTGAGTTATGCTCCGGAAATGATTTCGGGACGCACACACGCACACGCGCACGCACGCACGCACGCACGCACGCACGCACGCACGCACGCTCGCTCGCTCCCTCCCTCCCTCCCTCCCTCCCTCCCTCCCTCCCTCCCTCACTCACTCACTCACTCACACACACACACACACACACACACACACACACACACACACACACACACGGACGGACGGAACCCATTTCTGGATAATAAGGAAATACCAACACTATTAACATAATTAATCATGTTTACATCACCTTGTATGTCCTCATCATGCAGGTCAGACAGAGGCTTCAGGTGATTAACGAGCACACTCGTGTCCACAACCAGATACAGCCCCTGGAACAGAGAACCACAGTGTGACACCTCAAAGGACAGGCACTGACACACAGGTGTCCACCACCAGACACATTGATAGACAGTTCTCTTTAATGCTATTATTTTTCAGACAAGTGCAGTTTGAAATATGTTTTCACTGACAAAACATATCAGAACCTATAACTGATTCATAATTTCAAACTAAGGTCACCCTGTGTGTGTTGATCTCACCTGTGAGGCTGCTTCAGCCCGTGTAGCCGAACATGGCAGAGACAGGTCAAACGCTGACTACAACAGAGAACATACCCATGTTGGCATCATTCACAAAAACACCACAGTCAAAGAAAGAGACACATCTGTGGAATGTAGAACTAAGGAGGAGGTCGGGTAGCCTTGTGGTTAAAGCGTTCGCTTGTCACATCAAAGACCGAGGTTCAGTTCTGTACATGTTTACAACATGTCCCCTGACATGATATTGCAGGAATATTCCCTCGTCAAGATAAACCCCTGCATCCTCCTTTCAAGCTTAATATGTTGTCGGAGAGAGGATCACTTTAGAGGGAATGTGAATGAGTGAGTTGGGTTTAATGCCACTTTGAACTACTGGGAATGTGTAAAATACAAAAGAAAACATGGACTGTCATGTAAATGTTTGGTCTTAGTCAGTGGTGCTTATAAAGACTACTTACAGATTGGTCTAGAAGTTGGTCAAGGGGCACTTACTGGATGAGGGGGCTTAATACAGAGAATGTGGTAGCAGCAGCCCACATTTCATTTCGACACTTTTCATATATCTGTTATCTCAGGCAACATAAAATATTGTTGATAAAATCACTAAACTAACCACCAACCCTTCAGTCTGCAATACAAGATAATTCATCCATCCATCCATAAACCAAGTTGTGAAAGGACAGGCCCCTATATTAAACGACCTACCTGACTAGAACTGAACTCTAATTCTCCTCGGACTTCTTGAAGCTGAAACGAGCAAAGACAATCAAACAGTTATCAAACACAAAAGGCAATCTGTAACTTGGTTACAGTATTTTCATGCATATATATAAAAGAGTTTTTATCTGTCATATTATCATTTATATGAAGGATTCCTTGTTCAATACAACAGGTCATCAAATACTTTATCTGAAACAACCATTCTAATCTTAACCAACTTTCAAAATAACCAAAACTAATCTTTATTATTGGTGAGAGAAAGTTCTAAAATTTACTTTCTGATCAAGTACTCATTAAATGAATGACTAAACAAAAACCATAATAGAACAAAGAAAATCAGCTCAGAAATTCTGGTCACTCAGAAGGAATTTTTGTTCATGATAGAAACAGCTCTCAAAGCGTTCACCCGCCACAGGTAAAGGGCAGTGTTAATTATGAAAGCTGAAGGATGTGATGAGAATTAAATAATAGTCTTGGTAACTCAGGCACCACCCGCATCATCATAAAGCCTGCTGTACGTTTCAATTCAATAAAGCACACAGTTACTTCCCTTTACATGTGCACTGTTTTACTGTGCATCTCGTGTCATGGTCATGGCAACAGTAGGAGTTTGAATGCTTGTTTATATAGGGAAGCCATTTCCCAGGTTGATGGTACACAACTGTTTGTTTCGTTACCATGGTTACATATTAGTTTGAACAAGCTAAAAAAAACAAAAAACAATGCCCACACTATATTTTCAACAGTCATTGCCTGAGAACCAATTCTTTTATTTTTTAAAGCATTCTACTAAATGAAAGGAATGGTGATGCTTACATCTATTATCATCTGATCCTCGTCCTCGTCGGTGTCTTCGTCCACCTCCATGTCACAGACCTCATCCTCATCCTGGGGATGCTCTAGCAGGGCTGAAACACACATCACATTGGACTGACCAGGCCATCACATCGGACTGACCAGGCCATCACATCGGACTGACCAGGCCATCACATCGGACTGACCAGGCCATCACATCGGACTGACCAGGCCATCACACTGGACTGACCAGGCCATCACATTGGACTGACCAGGCCATCACACTGGACTGACCAGGCCATCACATCGGACTGACCAGGCCATCACACTGGCTTGACCAGGCCATCACATCGGACTGACCAGGCCATCACATTGGACTGACCAGGCCATCACACTGGACTGACCAGGCCATCACATCGGACTGACCAGGCCATCACACTGGACTGACCAGGCCATCACATCGGACTGACCAGGCCATCACACTGGACTGACCAGGCCATCACATCGGACTGACCGGGCCATCAGATTGGACTGACCAGGCCAGCACATTGGACTGACCAGGCCATCACATTGGACTGACCAGGCCATCAGATTGGACTGACCAGGCCAGCACATTGGACTGACCAGGCCATCACACTGGACTGACCAGGCCATCACATCGGACTGACCAGGCCAGCACATCGGACTGACCAGGCCATCACATTGGACTGACCAGGCCATCACATTGGACTGACCAGGCCATATTAATAAATGCTACGTACATCACATTGGACTGACCAGGCCATATTAATGAATGCTGCGTACATTACATTGGACTGACCAGGCCATATTAATGAATGCTGCGTACATCACATTGGACCGACCAGGCCATATTAATGAATGCTGCGTACATCACATTGGACTGATCAGGCCATATTAATGAATGCTGCAAACTAAAGACAAACAAGACATATTATTGTATGGAGCTACTTTATATACAATATCAGTAGTATGATGTTACACTAATTGTGACTGCATAATGACAACCAGTGTTGGCCACAGTCAGGCCACACACTGTAGCCACATGATTCCAATTTCAGTCATCTCATAACATACCGTATTCGACGTAATAAGCGCCCCGCTCTAATAAGCGCCCACGGCAGTATTTGCTAATATATTGGCTAGTGAACAATCCTAATTAGCACCCTTTCCGATTGATCAATGTTCACAAGACTTATTTATTTCGCGTACAATATGCACTCGTGTGTTATATGCAACCTTAATTATGGGCAATTAAATTCTAGAAAAATATATCTGTCGTACATAAACATTTCAGGCTGTCAGCATAAACCACAAAATTTATCTTTCAACTCTGTTTTTTTCACGAAAATAATATTCTAAAAAGAGCCCCCTATTTTTAATTTCGAGAGCGCCCTAGGCGCTTATTACGTCGAATACGATACATTCAAAGAATGAGGTCAATGTGGCCTATTCTGACCAGAGTCCCTCCCCACAGGGATGACCCAAAACACAAGCAATTGTCTAACTTACCATGCATGAACACTGAGTGAGACCTGTCACTATTCGAGTGTGGACCAGGCAAACCAGGGTAAAACAGTAATTTAAGCCATTGGGTGACGCCCTGGAAACTTATTTGGGTATCTATCCTATTCCGGGAACCTATCTTAAAACTGCATCCTGATAACCTATCCTTACAAGGGTCCAAAGGACATATCCTAACCCTGATCCTGAGGAGCTATCCTAGCCCGGGTCCTGAGAACCTATCCTAACCATGATCCAGAGGACCTATCCTAACCATGATCCAGAGGCCCTAAAGCAGATCCTGATAACCTTAACCCAGATCCTGAAGACCTATCCTAACCAAAATCTTGATAATCTATAACATGTATAACCGATCTATACTAACCCAGATCCTGAGGACCTATCCTAACCCAGATCCTGAGAACCTACCCTAACCCAGATCTTGAGGACCTATCCTAACCAAGATCCTGAGGACCTTTCCTAACCCATGTCCTGAGAACCTATCCTAAAACAGATCCTACTTTTACCCAGATGCAGAATACATATCCTAACCAGCATCTCATGAGGAAAGCAGGGAAAAGGAAGTGTATCCTAGGTTACTGACTTACCTTGAACCTGAACAGAAGGCTGAGACCATGCAGGTGTTTCCGGCTGGACCTCCTGACTCCCATTAATAAGATCTATCCACTCCTGGACGCGGTCAAGTCTGTCTGCCTGTGGAGGGGGTCGAGGACCGGGGGGGTCCCCAGGGACACTGTTGTTAGTGTTAGCCTCACTGTCCGACGAGACCACCCTCCTGACATCAGGCTGATGGTTAGGTCTATGTTTTCTAACTGGGGAGAGGACTGCAGCACTGGGGCCTGGAATGTTCAGCGGACTTACTTCACTTGAAACATTCAACCTGTCAAACACAGGTGATCGAACAACAACAGCTGAAGTATTTTGATTGACACGCTGAAGACGATCTGCTACTGTCTGGTCTTCCACATTGAGGTCAAGATATTCACCTGATGATTGACGGCTACATTTAGTCCTTCTTTGAGGACTCAATACAACTTTCCTCTTCTCTCCAACTGATACTTTTAGAGACAAATTATTCTTTGGCACAATTTTCACAGGCACAACATCACTGGTGGGGGAATCTGAATTTTTTCTTTTCCGTGTCCACAAATCTTTGCTTGACGAACTGGGTACCGTCTCAGGGTCCTTGCCCTGTTTCAAATGTACTAGATTAGAAAACCGCCCTGCTCCAGCAGCAGTCAGGGATTTGTCTTGTGTTTTGTGACGTTCTGATGAGCGCACCACCTCTCTCCTGCCACTTTCACCCTTCTTTGTCCGTGGGGATTTGTCTTGTGTTTTGTTATGTTCCGATGAACGCACCACCTCTCTCCTGCCACTTTCCCCCTTCTTTGTCCGTGGGGATTTGTCTTGTGTTTTGTTATGTTCCGGTGAACGCACCACCTCTCTCCTGCCACTTTCACCCTTCTTTTTTAGTGGAGATTTGTCTTGTGTTTTGTTATGTTCCGATGAACGCACAACCTCTCTCCTGCCAATTTTCCTCGTAAGCGGCAGTGGGAATTCCCCCATCCTCTGTATACTACTAACAGAATCACTTCCCGATGTAGTTTTCTTCTTTGAAGTTTTAACATTATCAGAAGACTCAACATCTTTTCTGATTTCTGTTAACACTTTGGAAATATTAAAGGAGTGTTGTCGGTCACCTTGTGCAAACTTCCTTGGCTTGTCACTCACTTCCTTTTTCACCTGTAATTTTGAATCAGGCGTCTCTATTTTGAATTTAACTCGAGGAACTTTCTCCTCAGACTTACACTTCTCCTCCTTCATAGACACTTTCTCACGGACTTTGTGTTTATAACTGGTGTCCGGACATTTTCCTTGAGATCTTTTTGGTACTTGTCCAGTGGACTGTTCTTTGGTGGGTCTTACCTGTTCGTCTTTTTCGTGAGACGGAGAGTTGGAAATCACATCATCATAGATGTTCTTCTGGAACTGACTAAACACAGGCTCATTCTGGGGGTCCTGCTTTTCTGCTTCACTGTAATATGGGGAATCATCGGAGGAGTCGGTCGGAGAGTAGCGAGGACTGCATGGTGGACTGAATTGTTCCTTTCCTGCATGACAAGGTGGAGGTATAGCATTCTGAAATAACGGAAAGAGTGAGTGAGTATGGTTTTACGTCGCTTTAAGCAATATTCCAGCAATATAACGGCGGCGGACACCAGAAATGGGCTTCACACATTGTACCCATGTAGGGAATCAAACCCGGGTCTTCGGTGTGACGAGCAAACCCTTTAACCACTAGGCTACCCGACCTCCCCTAACGGAAAGATATAGACCATGTAGCCATTTCAGAACCATAAAAATGCTCACATTACCAGTGTATAAAATTCCCCAAAATTTCAGTCAGACTGGCATTCTTTGTAAAATTACCTGACGACCAGATAAAATGCTGCCAGTCCACATTGCTCTAGACTAACGAGCTAAAGAGTAAAAACAGTACTGTTTAATGTTAGTTCTCAGAAAATAACATTAACTCGTGGATTGTCAACTTAGTAACTTTAACTCATTGAAATTTTATTCATCAATATTATAAATGTGTTAAACGTTTCCAGTTAATTTACCTCTTACGATGACATATGATGACATGCATCAACCAAGTCAGCGAGCCTGATCACCTGATCCCCACTAGTCGCCTCTTACGTGCAACATTCCAAGACTGACCATCAGTCAGCAAAACAGACCGTCTCGGACATTCGGACAGGGGGGTATTTTAAACAATAGACATTACACCAATTCATGTTATCATGTTCATTTGGTGTTGAGCAGGAGGATATCATCATGATCATCAAAGCAGCTATTCAAAGTAAGCGACTGTCAAATAAGTAATAGGTCACAAAATTGTCAAAATGAGGTAATAAATGTCCATCACGTAGCCGTGGAACAAAAGCACATCCTAGTACGGACAAGGGATGCAACTCTGCACAGTGGGTTTTGTTAGCCGTGGAACAAAAGGGGACCGAAGCATGTGTAAAAGATTCTGTCTGTTTCCATCCTCAACACAGACAGCCTTAGACAGTCTGTACTTCTAAGACTAGTCCAGAGATTTCTGCCATGGGAGCTGTGTCAATTTACGCATATCAGATGGGTACATAAAGTACGTGATCTAGACTACCAGTTGTCAGACTTCCATTTTGTGGAAGCCTTGGTGGTTGAGTGGGTCAGATCGCTGACTTTATATGCTGGCGATTAGGTGGCTCACGCTAAGAGTGTGGGTTCAATGAGATGCCATGCTTTGCGGTAGTGTTTAACATGGATATCCCACTCAGACACCAGTTCATGTTATAACCCCACAAGTACCATCTATTGAAGCATTCTGAGATCAAACTACTGACCCTCCGCTGTCTGGGCAGACCCTATACACTACACCATGGAGACAGCCTGTATGGATGAGAGTGAGCAGGGTTTATACCATTATACCAGAGACCATATAATAGAGGGCATCTATTATATGGTCTCTGATTTTACAGAATATTACAGACAAATGATCACAATCTGGAAAAATCTGTGAATCTGTGGATTTTGTTATTCCAACTGCATCATTACATGATGCAAGAGGCCATATTTTGTTGTAAGGTTGTTGTCAGGCATATCTTAGCTTTACCCACACGACTGAACTCGGGATTAAAAATCAGTTGACACATATTCACAACATACATATTCTACCAGAACATCGGAACTCACGTTGTTCGTTTTGACGAGATGAGGCATTTCCCATGTTGTTACACCACTGTGTGTGTTGAAGTAGTAGACACGTTCCGGGTACGTTGACGACTGTTTCACAATCCAGCCAAATGGGAGGGAGGGTTTTTCACGATTCATTCTGTGGTCATTTCTTTAACCAGACACATGCCCTCATCTATAACATATAATGCATATGAACATCAAAGACCATACTGGTTCCAAATGGAAATTATTAAAATTTGCACCTCCTATTGGTGATATTCAAAACAAGAGTGTGTAGGCTATGGTTTTATGTCGCTGTTATAAATATTCCTGCAATTGGCAATGGGCTTCACACAATTTACCCATATGGTGAAATAAAATTGGCCCTTTGGCTTGATGAGCAAAGGCTTTTCCACAATACAGACTTGTCGCCCTTCAAAACGTATAAGACACATTAACAATAAACAGCGCATCACATAATTTTATGTTCTGTTTTACAGATCAAACATTTTAATTTCTTCTAAGGGCTGTGGGGTAGCCTCGATGTGAAGCGTTCACTTGTCACACAATGTATGTGTGAAGCCAATTTCAGGTGTCCCTGTCGTAATATACTAAAACAACGTAAATTTCACAAATACTCAGATCGTTTTTAGCCGTCCATTCTACCTAAAGTCCCAAGTATATATTCGATCTAAAACTTCAAGGATTAACTAATAGTTTCTGCAATATGTCCAGCCAGCACACCCAATGGTCACTGACCAGCTCAACATCTGTTCAGCCATTGAATCGGGCGTTTAAAACTCCTTGGGTTCAATATTCATCAAGAGTAAGTAAACATGACAGTTGTGTGATATTGGTGCTACAAATAACATATGCCAGTGAAAATATATCACCATACCAGTTCTCTTGACCATAAATTCATAAATACAAGACCTGTCCCCTGCGTTTAACAAAGACCCCCACTTTTCGCTCACCATCATCCCCTTAGCTCGAGACCAACTTTCGAGTATTATAAATAAGTATATACTGTATCATGACAACATGACATGAGTCATTTCTTGTACTGTCATAATTCATCTCTGATTCTGATTACACTCTAAGTGATTGTCCTATATATACGCACCGTTTTTTTCTATTTATTATTGTGTATTATTGTTATTATACCTACGACTTCCTTTCCACAACCACATGCAGACTGGCTCGCCTGTCTTAGAGCGCATGCGCTCCTCTGACCGGGTACCAGTCTACAGACACATGGACGGGTAATATAAAACGTTACACTGTTCTTTCGCACGAAACGAAATTGTCCCCAGTCTGATGGTTGGTTGAATGGTTGGTTGTTTAACGCCGCACTCAGCAATATTCCAGCTATATGACGGCGGTCTGTAAATAATCGAGTCTGGACCAGACAATCCAGTGATTAATATCATGAGCATCGATCCACGCAATTGGCATCGACGACATGCATCAACCAAGTCAGCGAGCCTGACCACCCGATCCCGTTAGTCGCCTTTTACGACAAGCATAGTCACCTTTTACGGCAAGCATGGGTTGCTGAAGACCTATTCTATCCCGGAATCTTCACGGGTCCCCCAGTCTGAACTGAACTGAGCTTTATTACACTGAGGTCACTCGCAGCAGGTCCCATTCAAAGGGCGTGGTTTCTACAGGCCATCGGACGACTGCGTTGCTTCCCCTCGACATTTTATCTCACATTTACTTTAGTATAATCGATATATAAAAATCAACCTCTTTGATGTTCACACAAGTATTTTCCCGACTTACCTTCAACAAGTTTGCATTTCCCGAAAATATTCTGAAGATTCAGGTTTTCATCTGAGCATCCAGGGCAGAGTCTCGACTATTCATTTTTTAAACCGATCGGTACAATGCAAGTGGCCTGATGATGAAGCAACTATGACAGTTCAACGCCAGGTACATTAATGTACGTCAATCTAATTGGTTGATGAAGGAGTGACGTCACACTACAAAAAGCTCGTATAGTACATTCAAACCGGTCGAGAGCGTGTAATCGGGTCATACAGCCAGTCGTCTGTCAGCTGTGTAAACAAAATGCTTTTGGATAACACAGCGGTTTGCTCATCATTCCATGACCTCCTCACTTTGTATAAAGGAAACATTCCACATTTCCACGAGATAATACACACATACAAGTATGTTTTTGTGAATGAATGTAACCCAGCCTCAGCTCTATATGAATGACCAGAAACCTATGATTGTGGGTTCGATTCCCGGTTCGCCCCGATTATGTTTCTAGGTTATATATACCCATGCTCGTGGGTTTCACCGAAGTGGTAAACGTTTGAGACCTGCATCACTTCGGGCTTTCCTCCCACAAGCTGACACGCCGCGATGTAACTGAAATACTGTTAGAAGCGGCGTTAAACCCAACTCACTCACTCACTCACTCTATAAGAATTACAAATGGGGAATGCATATAAAATTTATGTATACTCTATGTATGTATGTATCATTTCAGAACAGAAGTTTACAGAAGAAGTTTATGTATCATTTCACATGCAACCATGCCGGCTGACGGTTGGAAATTTATTTGTCTGATATTTATTTTAACTCAAAACATCCAGCCTCCCTTTCCAGACCAAATAAGCTGTATCACACCGTGAAAAGAGAGGGGAAGTATGACATCAGTTTACATCATATTAAGAAGTGGTTATTTAGCTTCTCAAGATGCCTATTCACTGCAGCGACCTTTAAGGTATAAATACAAGCGGAACAGAGTGGTGGCCTCTGGATTGAATGATCGCTGGGATATAGACTTGGCTGATGTATCCAATATTGCTTTAGACAATGCTGGCGTTAAATACCTGATGATAGTTATGAATGTGTTTACCAGGTATTTCTTGGTTGAACCATTGAGCAATAAAAAACCCGACTCTGTTATTAAATCTTTGAAAAAGATATTTTCTCATACAACTCTGCCTAAGATCATACGATCGAGAATTTGATAATAGGAAAGTGAACGCTTTCTTACAAAGAAAAGGGATTACCTATTATGTGATTCAGAATGAAACCAAAGCGTCTTATGCTGAGAGAGTCATACGGACCCTCAAGACAACGAGGTACAGATATTTCACCTACAAACAAACGTATCATTATTTGGATATTTTGCAAGATCTCGTCTGGGATTATAACCACAGACCTCACAGATCATTGAATGAACGATCACCCTCAGACATAAACATCACTAATGAAAATGTAGTATGGAAAGAACAATTTATTGATTCTCTGAAAAAACACGAAACTATCAAGAAAGATAAGAAACCCAGGAAGAAATCGTTTAAGTTGAAAGTTGGAGATCAAGTCAGACAATCCCATTTTGGTTTGCATTTCAAGAGAAATGGACTAAAGAATTTTTTTTGTGAGAAGGCGTTATTATAGAGATGGTATTCCTGTCTACCAGTTAAAAGATATGGCAGAGGATCCGATAAAGGGGAGTTTTTATGAGAATGAACTTCAGAAAGTAAACAAGCCTACTGACACCATCTGGCTGTGGAGAAAGTTTTGAAGAAAAGGAAACGAGTTGGTGTAAAAAAGGTGCTGGTGAAATGGATGGGAAATCCCAAGAAGTTTAACAGCTGGATCCCAGAGGCTAATATGCAGAGTATAGAAGGCTCATCCTCTTATTCCAGTGTCAGTTGCATGCCAGTTGTCATGGAGTCCACATCGCATCAGAGCCCACATGTTTAGTTCAAATTTACCATTCCTGGTAATGCTGTCTCAGTGGGTCCATCCGGTTGTGGCAAGTCTATGTTTGTCTATTACTTAGTGCAGAGAAGACTCATCAATCCAGTACCTAACAATATTATATGGTATTACACTGAGTGGCAACCTCTATACGACACCATCTACAAAACCATGTCCTATGTCAAATTTGTCACAGGGATTCCTTACAACATACAAGATGAAAATTATTTAGATTCACATAATAATAACATGATGGTTTAAGAGGACTTAATGTCTGAGGCTAAAGATGATAAACGCATCTCACGACTGTTTACCCGAACCTCTCACCATAAGAATGTTTTCATCTTTCTACTATTGCAAAACCTGTTTCCCAGAGGCAATGAGTTACGTGACATTGCTTTGAACTCCCATTATGTAACACTGTTCAATTCCCCCGTGGACAGACATCAAGTCCAGTTGTTTGCCAGGCGCATCTATCCCAACAACACTGACCGCTTTATGTCAGTGTATGAGTCAGCTGTTCAGAAACCATATGGTAATCTGACCATTGACCTCCGACCTACCACCTTGGAATCAGAGAGACTCCAAACCTAATGTACTTGACATAGTCAACGCCTCACAGCCTATAAAAGAGGAGGTTAGCAAGCAGTCATATCATTTCCTGCTGGGCACCAGAAGAGAACACATCTCAGAAGAGACTGCTCCAGTGGACAGTGAATCCGAGGACAGTGACATAACAATGCCTTCCTGTGACGAGTGTGGCATTGTGTTTGAAAAAAACAACGACCTCCAAGGTCATGTGAGAAACTGGTGCCCTGAGAATGGAGGGGAGCCCATAAGTTGCTAAAGTTGATACAGCCAGTGACAACAGTGATGACCTAGGTTCTGTTGCAAGTTCTAAAGTCACTGAAGCTGATAAAGAGAGAGAGGTTAAAGGGTTGGAATACACGTTGGAACAGACTTTGAAAGTGTGTAAGAAAGATATATCCAAGAAGAGAGATGAATATGAACAAGATGGAAGGAGTGAAAGGTGGATTGAGAACAAACTTAAAAAATGTTGGGAAGCTACATTTCTAGAGCGACTGTCAAGAGCCATTTCATATATCAGCTACTTTGGTGCCTAATTCAAGCCTATCCTCGATAAAAAGAGAACCTTGGATCCAAACACAGATCCCGAAAAAATGGATTCTAAAATCAGGCAGTGGATGAAACCCGTGGTCAAAGACATCTTGTCTCATGTAGAGATGTCTGAGGCTGACGATCTAGAGCATTGACATTGAATGCATTTGCAACGACCTGTGCACTCTGGCCTGCTTGCAGTCTTCCGATAGCTTGTTGTCTCTCATTTCCTGATAATCTTGGCATGGCTGATGAATCGAAATAACGAAAGCCAGCTTAACAGTTTTGGGTGTCTTTTATACCCATACCATCCACGATATGCACGTGCATCATGTTTTTGACAAGTCTTTTCCGCAACTGAGTCCCATTGCACTTTTGTAGGCTGCGTTTGGGCAAAGCACTCCATTTTAAATTCAATTGTTAAATGGACTTCAAGGCAACAAAAAGAAGCAGTAGAACGTTAAATGAGTTTATTGACCACAGAACATGTAACTGCCAGTGTCTGTTAAGTTTTATCAGTATGTCAGAAGTGACGTTTCTTTTGCCTTTCAGTGTATATTTCTAGCTCAAGTTGGTAAATCTGTGAAAGGGAATGAGCTACTGGACAGTTTTTGAGCAATACCAGGTCATCAATATACCTGAATCTTACCAACTTCTTGGCCAAATTGCCGTCTTTAGATTTTGCCAATCACAGCAGATAATCTGACTCGTATGCATAAAGAAACAGACCAACAACGAGGGCAGCACACTAATAGTGCCCATGGTGATGCCCACTTCTTGCCTAAATGTTGTATCACTACATTTGACAATAATGTTATCAAATGAGTGAGTGTTGGGTTTAACACCGCTTTTAACAGTATTCCAGTTCTATCACGACGTGTCAGCTTAATGTGGGAGGAAAGCCCAAAGTGATGCAGGTCTCAGACGTTTACCACTTCGGTGAAACACCCGAGCACGGTTGTGGTGCTGACAAACCTAGAAACATAATCGGGGCGAACCGGGATTCGAACCCACAATCATAGGTGTCTGGCGTGCCCAAGGGACGCAACTCTGCGCAGCGAATCGCGGCGCCTTAGACGACCCGTGCCCCCTGTTATCAAATGAGGAAGTCCAGCTTTCCTCATACTGTTTTATCAGTAAACTTTGGATGACATTTGCTTTCTTTTTTGACAAATTACCATAAACCTTTGAGTATAGGGATGTAACCAGTTTAGTAACCAGCTGAAAAAACACAAATAACTGTTTGATTGGTATTTAAGAAGTCTGCAAATAAGTAAGTAAAACGTACAACTTTATGGATAACAACTTCTGGTTTATTTTCAATTAACTGGGAATTGTTATCCAAACAGTTGTTTCTTTTTCTTACTGAAAAATCAAATGTTTTGACATAACTGAACTTTCTGACATTGCGAAAATTTTAAGCGAATACTTTGAGTTTTCGCAAATCAATTCCACTAGTCTTTAATACGTTTTGTGAATATAAAGAAGACAATTCCTAGATTGTATTAAGGATTATGGTTAATCTTTGAGTCAGACATTTGGTGGTACATTTGCTGGAACCAGTGACATATATCTCTTTGCACGGATTGTTATTGAGCTTTTGAATTCAGTACAAAAGAGGAATGGACATGTCTGTGTTGTAGTAGTATGATAAGTCTTGGCAGCCACAAGTAGAGATATTTACATCAGTACTACCAAGTCCACGTTATGAACCACGCTCCTATAATTAACACCTTGGGTGGGATTGTGTTCGTAAAGGAAAATGGTGGTTCCCGAAATGTGAAAAATCGTTTGACATTGAGGGAAACTAAATGTTTCTGAGAATGTTACTTAAGTTTAAAGCATAAATTGTTTGCAAATTTTAAATTAGTGAGTTTGTTTGATTTTAGGCCGCTTTTAGAAATATTCCAGCAATATCACGAGGGGGGACACCAGAAATGGGCTTCACAAAATTTTAAATTAAGGAACATGAGGTCGTTTTCTGATTTAGTGGAATCTGTTTCTGGTTGTTTGGACAAACGTTTCAAAGCAATATCAAGATCATTGCTCTTAAGGTAATACTATTTTTC